CGGCTATAGGAGTTTGCTGGTAGAGTTTTTCAGGTCACTTATGTAAACTATCATCTGCAAATAGTTAAAGTTTGACTTTTTCCTTTCCAATTCGTATCCCCTTGATCTCCTTTTGTTGTCTTATTGCTCTAGCTAGAACTTCAAGTACAATATAGAGAAATCTCAATTGAGGAATTTAAAATGGCTGAAAGATACTTTAAGTGCTCAACATCCTTAGCCATCAGGGAAATGCAAATCAAGCAACTCTGATATACCATTTTACTCCTGTCAGAATGGAAACACCAATGACAGTTTATGTTGGAGAGGATGTGGAGAAAGGGGAACACTCCTCCACTACTGGTGGGAGTGCAAACTCATACAGCCATTTTAGAGATCAGTATGGTGGTTCCTCAGGAAACTGGGAATCAGTCTACCACAGGACCCGGCAATCCCCCTCTTAGTCAATTCCAAAATGATCCATATCCACACAACAAAAACGTGTTCAACTATGTTCATAGCAGCACTATTTGTAATAGCTAGAACCTGGAAACAACCTAGATGCCCCACAACTGAAGAATGGATAAAGAAGATGTAGTACATTTACACAGTGGAATACTACTCTATGGAAAACAAAACAAAAACAAACAAACAAACAAACTATGGATCTTGAAATTCACAGGCAAATGGATGGAACTAGACGAAACCATCCTGAGTGAGGTAACTCAGTCACAAAAAGACAACAAGCTATGTCCTCACTCATATATGGATTTTAGACATAGAGCAAATGATCACGAGCCTACGATTCACACCACCAGAAAAACTAGGAAACAAGAGACATACTTGGTCCCCCACAGAAAGGGAACTGGACAAGATCTCCTGAGCATATTGGAAGGGGGAGGGGAAGTGAGTGGAGAGGGAGCTAGGAGAAAGAGAAGGGGAGGAGGGGAGAGGAGAACATGAAGGAGTAGGAAGATTGAGTTGGGGAAGGAATGGAGGACAGCAAGAAAAGAGATACCATAATAGAGGAGCCATTATAGGTTTGAAGAGAAAATTGGCATTAGGGAAATGTCCAGATATCTACAAGGATGATCCCAACTAACAATCTGAGCAATAGTGGAGAGGCTACCTTAAATGCCCTTCCCTGATGATGACATTGATGACTACCTTATATGCCATCCACCTTCATCCAGTAGCAGATGGAAGCAGACATAGACACCCACAGCTAACACTGAGCCAAACTCCTGGAATCCAGTTGCAGAGAAGGAGGAGTGGTGAACAAAGGGGTCAAGACCAGGCTGGAGAAAGCCAGAGAGACAGCTGACCTGAACAAAGAGGAGCTCATGGACCCCAGACTGATAGATGGGAAACCAGCATGGGACTGACTCAGACTCCCTGAACATGGGTCTTAGCTAGAAGGCCTGGACAGTCTAAGGGACCTCAGACAGTGGAGCCAGGATGTATCCCTGGTGCACAAAAGGACTTTGGGAGCATATTCCCCATGGAGGAATACTCCCTTAGCCTAGAGGCAGGAGGGAGGGCCTAGTCCCTACTGCAAAAGACTTGACAGATTTTGATGGCCCCTCCTGGAAGGCTTCATCGTCCCTGGGGAGTAGGGGGGGAATGGGACACTGGAGTGGGGAGGGCGGAGGCGGCATGGGAGGATGGGCGGGAGAGAAAACTGGAGTCAATATGTAAAACATTTAATTTAAATAAAAAATGTTATTCTCAAGAGTTCAAGAAAATAAAACTTCAACTAGTCAATTGGTGGCTTTAGATCAAATCATTTAATCAGCAGTTCATTCCATTCTAATTTACATTCAGCCCCCAGAACCCAGAAGAAAAAAAAAAATCACCAAATACTCACTTTACAAAAAAAAAAAAAAAAAAAAAAAAAAAAGACTGAAATCACCCATTTCACAATCGATCTCACCACAAGCTCACTCACATCTTTGCTTTGTTTCTGCTGGATGGTAACCCTGGGGATAAAGTCCTAGCTGCTTTGCATATCAACACCAGTGACTGGATTCCATATTGCAATGCACAGTAAGGACCTGCAGGGGGCGAGCACTGCATGCAGCTGCAATGATGTGTGTCACACAGCCCCGATGTGTGACTGACATTGTTTTTGTCAACTCAGGGTTCTCAGTGACGGGGTGATCCTCGGGCCAGGCCGACAAGACAAACCCCAACATCACAGCAGGTCCTCTGCCCATGTTTACTGAGTGGAAGGAGAGACACACACAGGGCAATGTGTATTTACTCAAGTCCTACGATGCAACCCAAGAGCATGATCTATACCAGAGTACGTACTTAGAATGTTTAGAACAGGGTGATCACAGGAGTGCTCCAAGCTCCCACACTTTAGAGGCCGCCCCTGGGGTCCCAAGGCCTTTCCGATGGACCTCCCACAGGGGAGGTTAACAGGGATGCCAGGCACTCTCCTTAACCCACAGAATATGTTCCCCCACAGAAATCAGGTGATTACAAAGCTTTTGGACAAGCCCTCTTAGCTAGGATAGGAACCACAGAGTTATTCCCAAACAGCATTCAGAATTTCATTTACACAATGAGGCAAACGACTTGCTGTGCATAGTCCTGTAAACCCAAGTTATTTAATATTTGCTTCTGTAAGAAAATACTCCTTCTTTATTAAATCTTAGCCATGGTTTTCTCCTGTTACTGATTTTTCTATTAAGTTTCTAATCATTGGCAAACTATCTCAAGTTTTCAACGCCAATTTTAAGCCCTGAAAATTCAAATATGTAAAAGCCAACTCAAGGTACAAAGTTTCAGATTTCCACATTGATAAACAATACGCTCATATGATTACCAGGAGGCTTTTGAGCCGAGAGACACTGGCACTACCAACTGAGTGTTGAGACCAGCATGGCTGTGCGGCTTGAACATTGCAAATGCCTGCACAAGAGGCAGAATCCCAGGAGCTTCCCGCCAATTTCATGCTTTCCAACAGAGCACCACCCAACCCTCTGGGAAATCTGGGTGATTAGGGAGCATTTTACAATTGGAATGGGCAGAAGACAAATGAGCTAGGAAGATGTACAGGCTTTGGAAGATTCATGCACACCCCTAAAGCAAAGAAAGGGATCTGGCTTCTTCTATGGTTTCCTTCACACCTTAAAGTCTCAGGGATTTCTTTGCAGTCTGAGAATTCAGCCTGGGCTGAAATGCAAACACTGCAAAAAAAAAAAAAAAAAACAAAAAAAAAAAAAAAAAAAAAAAAAAAAAAAAACAAAAAAAAAACAAACAAACAAACAAAAAAAAAAAAACGGGTGTTCCCTTATAGAGTACCCTTCTCATGGAATACAGCACAGTTAAGATGAAAAAACAGGAAGGTTTGTATCCTGCAAAGGCTGTCATGGAGACAGACCCCTGTGGGGTAGAAATAATCAGTAACTACTTCAAACTTTGATTGCCTTTCTGCAACAGCAAGGTAATTACATCCCAGCTGGTTGGCTCCTCCAGACCACAGCAGTAACTCTGAACATCACACTTTAAAGAGTAAAGAAGTGAGTGTGCATCCGGCTGAAGGGAGTGTGACTCAGACTCACAAGCCAGCTCCTGGATCTACCAGCATGGTTGCTACCAGAGGATGCTTACTGCGCAGCAATGCCTCATCAGGAAGTGCGGTCTCACCAGCGCCAGACAAATGTGGCGGCTGCTGCATGACCCCACAGTCACACAGAAAGTGGACAACACAAGTTTCCTTTTGGTACAATGATGAATTTAATGCAACAGCCACAATGGGGAGGGGAAAGGGAGAGGCAGACGAACGAGACTAACCTGCATCCCTAACCTGCATCACTGAGCAAGGACTGTGCAGGCTTCTGTGCAGAGGCAAGCAGGGGGAAGGGAGGCACTTAAAGCTTTTGGATGGATGTCCACCCGGGAGAAGCCTGGGCCTAGTCTACAGTTAATACCATTGTCATTACTATCAACAGGAACATACGTCTCATGAAGAAACATGCAGCAGAAACATTCGAGACAAAAGAGCCTAAGATTGTTCTGAAAACGAAATGACACAAGAGTGTCCAGAATGTCATGTCTCAATTACAAAAGTCAATGTTTTTACACTGTCGTATTTCGTTAGTAGTAGTATCTAGTTGAAAATCTTTTAATTACAAAATTATTGGCAATGATATAAAGCCCTGGCTGGTACAGATATAGTAATATCTGTACTGGCACCCATTTGGTAAGGAAAATATCACCATCCAGCTATCTTAAATATCCTTTATCATCTAAATATCTTAAACCAATGTTCTTACATTGTTATTCAAAGATACTCTTTCTTTGTCTTTCCCCCATTACTCCATAATCAATATTCCTCTTAGAAATTATAACATTCACATATATAAAATAAAATGTAATGCTTTAAAAATCTCAAAAATGTAATGTTAGTACTTCTAGTTATCTCAACTCAGCTTTCATGGAGTGGCTTTGAATTTCTACTGCCTAGATGGCTTTAAATAAAATCTTAAATGTCATGTGGCAGGTTGCCCTAACCCATCTGTAAACACAATGCCACTGAAAACATCTTATTGGCATGAAATACTACACTCAAGCGTTGGTTGTGTGAAATTTTTAAACCTTAAAGCCTTTTAACATAATCATGTATATCCATATGTACAGAACATACATAAATTTCACTTTATGTAAAACATATGAAAGAGGTAATCCCAAAATCACACTAAACATAATAAATATAGAACCTGCTTTGTTAAAAATCTACAGTATACATTCAAGTAAAGGCTAAACTTCCGATGCCAACCATATTGGGACAAAGATTTAATGCTTACAATAATCAGTCCCCTAGAAGTGCTATTTTGAGTTCCTGAAGGAGGAAATCCACTCATGTGTGTCTCATCCAAACACCACTCATCCCTCTAGTCACAGAGCCAGCTGCTGTCACTAACACACACCCAAAGCTTTTGCATCCTTTTCAATAGCTTACACTGCAGCTCTTTGGGGGAAGACGGCAATCCGGACAAACAACCCAGACCATCTTAAATTAGATGACCGACTTTATGATACACCCTGTTTAACTCAGCTGTGACCTCGGATGCACATTTTAGCGAGAACACGGCAGTCTATGCATCTAAGGTGAGTCATCTCTTTCCAGGTGAGAATTTGTGTAGGTTGAGGAGCATCTGCTGTAGCAGCCTTCCCGTGAAGTGGGTCTTGACACCACGCTCCATTTCTGATTTGTGCATTCTCTTCCAACCTCATTTGGTTTAGTTTCTTCAGGAGTTACATTCAGCACATTGGTTGAACTCCTGGAAAATAAGGTAAATCTTAATAACTAATTTGGTTAAGAGCAGATGTTCCTGAACACCTCAAGTCTGACTGCTCCGTGTCTGTGCTAATAGTGCATCCTGGGAAACCACTTGGGCATGCTCAGGACTGGCTCTATTTCAGAATTCCACTTACCCACATCAGGTACAGACTGAGCAGCAAGATCATAACAGTGCAGATCAGTCCACTTCCCAAATTTAACCCACCAGCTAATGATTTATACTTAGCCCACCAGCTAATGATTTGCTGGCTCTGTGTTTACATTATGACCCAGTTCCAAGAGAGCACCAGCTCTCAGCTTCTGCAGAGCCTTCTACCTGGCTCTCCACACACACTCCATTCCCACAGATAAGAGTGGTGTTCTAGGTTTTTTTAAGCTCATGTTTTTCCTTCCCCTCCTCCTAACATTTGCTCTGAGAAGATTAGTGAGCTAAAAATACAGATTAAATTGTTTTATAAAGTGGTATGTATAAGGAACCTCCTTTATCACCCGAGGAAGTGGCTCTTCTCGGCTCTTTGCCTTCCAATACCAGTGCAATGGTATTGGACTATCTCTGGAAAACTATCAAAATGGCATTCTTCAATGTAATCACAGTACTGAGATTTCTAAGTGATCCCTGAAGTGCGCTGTCCCTGTCTCTCAGGTTTTAAGGCCAGGTCTCACTATGTAGCCCTGACTTAGAGTTCACTATGGGCGCCCAGCTTGCCTCAGACTGGACAGACTCATTTGCCGCCGTTTGCTGAGTGGGGGCAGGGAAGCTGGCCCCCAAGTCTACACTCAGATGTAAACCAAGCCAGACCCTCCCTCGCTCTCCACTAGACTTTGTTACCTGGCACACAGCCTCCCACACTGGGAATCTCTGTACAGAAGCTCATTTCTCTCCAAAGCCTCTACCGTCCCAGACACCCTATGAAACAACTTTGCCTAAGCAGTGCAAAGTTAACTGTGTGAAGTATGTGAAAAGGTCACTTAAAGACAAATACCTGTGTTCCGACACACAGGAGCGTGTCTGGCAAATGTCTGAAGTAGAAGGTGAAGCAGGAAGAGACTTAGTCAGTTTTGATGTGCAAGCTGGTGCCCCATTAGCCACATTGTGTGGCTTCTTCTGCCGTGGCCGTGAGTGCACTATAAGATTGTCTGGATCAGAACCTGGTTTTTAGGTAAGGGAAAGAACAGGGCACACGGTAAACACCAAACACAATGAAGATAGCCAACCGCGATTAATCATTGCAATTCCGAGTGGGATTTGAGGAGAAAGAACTAATTAACTGGTGTCTCTGTCACTTACTCTGCAAATAGAAGAATCTAGCTTAAAAATGGTCAATATCAAAAATCACAAATCTTCAAAAACATGGCGTTATTATACTTTCATAAAATTAGTTTTTACATGCAAGATCCTCCTATGAGCCCTCTATGAAGTCAGTGAATAAACCACTAAGTTGATTTTGCGGCCAGAGGGACAGTTCCTTATTGAGCTATTATGGGTTGGGTTCTGGGTTTGATTGCCAGCACCTGAACACACAGGTGGGCAGAGATTAAAAATAGAAAATGTTTCACCTGGATGAAGTCCTAGCAGAAGAGAGATCAGCCTGCACACAGGGAGGCTCAGCTCACCTCTGCAGAGATCAACATGCACACAGTGAGGCTGCAGCTCACCTCTGCAGAGATCAACATGCACACAGTGAGGCTGCAGCTCACTTCTGCAGAGATCAGGCTGCACACAGGGAGGCTCAGCTCACCTCTGCAGAGATCAACATGCACACAGTGAGGCTGCAGCTCACCTCTGCAGAGATCAGGCTGCACACAGTGAGGCTGCAGCTCACCTCTGCAGACATCAGACTATGGCCCCGTGATGCTGCACACAGCTCACACTCGGATTCAACTTACTTCCCGAGAAGGCACTGAAAAGTTTCACATTTTCCGAGTTCTGGTGGTCAAAGGTCATCATGTTTAAAAACTGCTGCTTTAACCAGCTGGCTCGCTCTTCTTCGAATGCCTTCCTCTAGGGTAACAAACAAACCAAACCGGCAATTACTCCACTGCCACTTCCCATAACTCCCCCAGCGGCGCCCTCTCTGGCCACCCATACATCACTTGTATGAAATAGTCACCTAAAAGCTAAAAGACACTTGAGAAACGTATATTGGAAAAATAAAATTTGGGGACTGAAGAGATGGTGCAATGGTTAAGAGCACTTACTGCTCTTACAGAGGATCTGGGTTCAATTCCCAGCACCTATACGGTGGCTCACACCTATTAGTAACACCAGTTCCAGAGGAGGCAAGACCTTCTTCTGGCCTCTGAGGACACCAGGCACACATGGTGCACAGACATACTTTCAGGTACAACACCCCCATACATAAATAATAATTTTAAAATACTTTAATAATAGCAAATCATAGCTTTCACTGATTACACCAACAATCGATGGTTTGCACACGAACAGAGTATTAGCAGAGTGCTCAACACAAAGAACACACAACCATAAAGCTGCTATCAGAAAAATACCCTGCTTCATCAGTCAGTTGCTTGGAAACAGGCTTCTGACTACATCAGGCATTTCTTTTGTCCTCTAGCCATCGGCCACTGCTACTGACCACAAGAGGGCAGACACACAGACCATACCAAGTATCTCCTCTTCAGGTCAGCCGATGACTCCTAAACATTTTCTCCCATCTCCCTGTCTGATCTGTCACTGTCCCCTGTGTCTACAGAAAGCTGGAAGGATACACAACAAGTTTGTGGCCAGAGGAAGACAACTACTGATGAAAGGGACTTTTACAATTGTGGACGAAATTGGTGTGAGCCCTTAAAATAACCAGAACTGAGTCTTTCTCTCATAAATGGGAGCATGAAACAAAGAATCACCAGACAGCAAAGAAAACCAATGGCAGAAGAGGAGAAAGGGCCAAGATAACGACTGACTGCAGATTCAAAAATGCATTCACAACGATAGTAATGTACAAAGAGAACAGGAAAATTACAAACTACTAAAACTGATCCTGAAGAACCCAGTGTCAGCCACAGACACACCTGATAGCATGGAGAAGTCAAACTACAGAGTGATCTACTCAGGACAGAATCTTCCAGATGGAAAAAATTAAGATGGATCCTGGCAAAATTAAGAACTACAAAACTCCCCTAAACTTTCACAGATGGACGTGTGGGCGGCTGCCCCATAAAATTACCTACACCGTAAAAACAGGCTATGTTGTCATCTAGCTTCCCCTCAGCAACAGAAATTGAACAATTCTTTCAACTTTTGAGGAAAGCTAGAAGTTAAACACCCAGCTGATGCAATCCAGAATGGTTGTCTCCATGCTTGTGCTGCTTCTTCAAATGTGATGCAAGATGGTGGCACAGCCTTCACAGGGACAGCAAGAGGAGGACCGACGTGAGCGGCAGAAACACAGCCACAGAGTCTGACTTGGCAGATTACAACACAAACTCGAGAGAGTGATATGGCTTTTCTGGCAGGCAGTCCTGCCCAGAGGCGGCCCCAGATTCAACCCCACCAGTGATGTGTTTAAATGCGCTCTCTGCTTATGGAATGGGTAACATCACATAATCACAGGACCAATGTTATTTTCTGGCTTGCAATTTTTAGGCCCCAACTTCAGACAAATCACAGTACTTATCGGTATTTTATAACACAGGGCAGGATGGAGAAGTGGCAGCCTCATAAAGATGCACAGTGAAGAGGCAAGCAAGGGAGATGGGAAAAGCTAACACAAGGATTCTGCTTGACGTGGTGGCACATGCCTTCAATCGTTCAAGGCCAGTTCTGCACAGCAAGTTCTACACCTGCACAGGCTACATGGAGAGACTGCTCCAAAATAATCCAAATTAAAAAGAGTCTATTGGTAACTTTTTTGAGAATTTTAACTTTTACAGTATTTTAACCTTTTCTAGAGATTTAATTTTTATTTCATGTGTATGAATGCCTGCATGTATGTAAGTACATCGCATGTGTATCTGGTGCCCATGGAAGCCAGAGAAGGCCTCCTCCCCTGGAGCGGGAGTTACAGATGGTTGTGGGTGCTAGGAAGCCAGCCAGTCCTCTGAAAAAGCAGCTCTCCAGCTCTGAAATGGCATTAAAAGCTGTGCTACCATACCTAGCTGCCAACAGACATTTCTTTTACTCAGCGGTTATTCCTAAGGGTGACACTGGAGATGAAGAAGACACCGTGCACGCCATACCAGTACTATTTTGTATAGGTTGAGCTTTAAGTCAGTTTGGGGACACTGTGTCTTTAATTTCTGAAAGGGTATTAGGGAGGTAACACGTTGCTGACAGAATGCAAAAATCCAAATGGCTAACTTGTATACAATCCTCTTCCAGGATTGGGAAACAGAATCTTTTACTGTGTTTTCTTTTGCATGGAACAAGGATGCTGTTGGTACTATTGAAAAGTGGGTAAGTGACAAATGCCCAAAGGAACCGAACGATATCTAACAGAAGACCATCCATATGCTCAGCCTCCCTCCTTCAATTTCCAGTTACTCCAGGCCTTAGCACCACCGACTCCATGATGGAACGGCCACTCAGGCCATGAGCTCAGCATGTAGACAGCACCTCCAGCTAAATCTAAAACAAAGACCCAGTCCATCACAGCCATAGTTCTGGGAAAGTCTCTAAATGAACTACCCTTGCTTTCTGGCTTGTGTAGTTCTGCTTCTGGCTAACCGTTACTGTTAACTGAAGTATGTCAACCCAAGTTTTGGGTTTTGTGCTTAAAAGCTCAGCTTGAGGAAGGCTGAGATCCCAAAGGTCCCAAACACACAGTGTAGTCACTGGCCGGATCATAAACACTTGCCATTGGTTTAAACCCGTATCTGAGCAGTCCTCTTGGGTAGTAAGATGGTCAGTGATGCTTCAGATGAAACGGATGGCAGAGGCAAGTGGGATCCAGGAAGCACTCGCCGCACACCCACGCCCAAGGCACACCCACTCTAGTGCTCACCTCCAGCCCCAAGCGGATCGCGGCTTCTGTAAAGCTTCGTCTTTCTCTCTCGAAGTTCTTTTTCTGCTCTTTGAAAAGGGACCACTCCTCTTTGAGGCGTTCTTTTTCTTCCAGCAGGTAACAGTCTCGCAGCAGCGAGGTGGTGTCGTCGTCACAGGTGGTGGCCAGCTGCTGCTATTAAATTTTAAAACACAGTAAGTCCATACAGCTCGCGCATTCAAGTGAAAGTGAGGAAGATGGGTCAGAGCTTGGCCAGGGACACACACGATGAAGCATCAGCAAGTCAATGAGAACCTGCTTCCCTGGGCAATGCAGGGGCCGCGCGAACAAGGCTGCGGCTCATTAACTGCTGGTGCAGATGCCACTGAGATGGGAGAGATCGACTACAGACCTCGGGAGATACAGGACCAAAATGATGTAGCCGGGTCAGTAACATCCCGGGCCATTCCCCTTTACCTGTAAGAGCTGCTGCTGCGCTCGGATCATCTCTTTACACTGCTGGATCTCTAACTCCAGTTTCTCAGTCTCCTGTTCATGGTCTTGTCGAGAGATGACGTCCTCATCACTGAGGCCATCTAAGTGGACCTTTGAAACTGACAGAATCCCAGTGTGCTTGTTAGCTTGCTGTCAGCTTGAATGCAGCTAGGGTCATCTCACAGGAGGCCCTCAGTCAAGAAAATGCTTCCACAGACAAGCCTGTGTGGCATTTTTCTCAGTAATGATTCCCATTTGTTTGCTTGTAGACAGGGCTTCACTGTTTAGCCCTGGCTGTCCTGGAACTCACTCTGGAGACCAGGCCGGCCTTGTGGGAGGCCCAGCTCAGTGTGATGGGGCCACCACCAGGAAGGTAGTCTTGAGGTATGTAAGAAAGCAGTTTAAAGGGAGCCATCAGGAGCATGCCTATGAGCAGCACCCCGCACCCACCCCTTCAGCTCCTGCCCCGACTTCCCTTCAAGATGGCCTGTGAGGTAGGAGGTAAAGTTAACCCTTTCCTCCCAAGTTACTTCCAGCCGCGGTGTTTATCAAAGCAACCGAAACCCTGAAGAGAACAGCCAGAAGCTAGGCACAGGTTTTAAAGCCACTGTCTGCTTATGTTGGCCTTGAACAGCTATTTAAAATAAAAGACAACGTTTTCCTTGATGGGCTTCTCACAGGTTTTATGAAAGAAGTCATTTTCTTCTTCCATTTTACTTATTTTTAAAAATTTGTTACAAAATTAAATGTTTTAAAGCAAAACACACCCAAGTTCTAACAACTATACAGTTATACAATTTTAGGACTAAATGGATTTACAGACAAGCTTTGTTGTCAACACTGAACTTACAAGCCACATTTATTCAAGACTATCATGAGATTATTAACACGCCTCCCTGGGCCTCTGGTCCTTGCTACCCAGTCTTCAGGAGCTGTGGGCTCAGCCACAGAATAATGCTAACAAACCCGACAAATCTATAAACTTGATGGTGACTGACAGGGTGGTACTGGACTACCAACAGCATGCTCTCACATTAGATCCCCCAAAACTAGAGTCCAGGCACGCTTCTTAAGAAATAGTGATGATGAAATTAGTTAACGTGCAACTATAAGAATTGTGCTGTTTGCCCTTTACCACTTACAGCACAATTACTAAAATTCACTGTTTTGATAATTCCAATAAACTTTAAGTAACTTTATTTACTCAACAGAGATTTTAGTGCTAAAGAAATGGCAGAGGCTAAAAGTGCACTCTGCTCTTGTAGAGGTCCCAGGTTCCACGTCTGGCACCCACACTGAGGTCTTATAACTACATGTCACTTCAGCTCCCGGAAGCCAACACCTCTGGCCTCCACAGAAACCGACATTCATATGATATGCACCTTCGCGACACATAAACAATTAAAATGGTGACAATAAACCTTAATGAACACAAATTTTAACTTCCCTGGTTCAGAAGCATGCAGACTTAAAGACAGCTCGCCTTCACACTTGGGTTACACGTTGTCCAGGTCACTAGCCAGCGAGCAGCAGGGGGACAGAGCAACACTAAGGCTTGTTCCCAGCCAGCGCATCTCTATCAGCAAGTGCAAAGCCAGGGCAGACCAGGCAGAACCGGACACGCAGAGCACTGGGCTGAGCTGGGAGAAGCAGCTCTGAGCCCAGAGCACTGCAGTCCCTGGCAACTGGACAGCAATGGCTTAGGCCACGCCCCCTTGCATGGCTGCAGCGGTGATTACCTTGGTTATCAAGCTTTTCCACGTGGCTTTTCAGGATCCTCCACTGTTTCCGGATGCTGTTTGTAAGCTGTTCTCTTACAGTGTCACAGGAAAGGTCCCACACGCTCTCTCTGCTCAGCTCTGCAGCGTCATCTTCAATGTCAGAGATAACCTACAGCCCAGGGAGAGCAAAGGAAAGACCAGTAACCAGAATGGCTTCACACCCAGGCAGCGGTATCAGGCACCATTAGGCATTATCTAGCTTGTAAAAATGCGCTGAGGACTCCCAAACTCAGATCTCTTCAAATCTGACTCTGGCAGAGCTGAAGAGACACAGCTGCTGTCTGTGCCATGCGTGTTGGATGCTGCCCACATTTACTTCTCAAACTGCAAAAGAGAAACTCAGGCTCTGCGGCAAGCTCAGTGTTGGGTCACACAGATGACAGAGGACTGAGATCGGTCAGTTTGTCTCTAAATTAAGACTGCTGCAACAAATAAGCCTTTTGGAATTATCAACAGAGTCAACCCCAATTCCATTATTTTATGGCTGACGTGTTTGTCTTTTTGTTGTACCAAAACATGAAATTATATGATAATGTGCCAATGGTGATTAGGTGTTGTTACACTGACGGCAAAGGCACCTGCCACCAGCCTGACCTGAGCCTGACACCTGGGACCGACTGCCACAAGTTGTCCTCTGGTCTCCATGACACCGCCATAAAGTGTATTTTAAAAATTCAAGACCTTTAATAGGCAGGTGTGACTCCACATGTCTGAAATCCCAGCACCAGGAAGGTGAAAGCTGGGAGAGTGTTTTAAGTTCTGGGCTAGCCTAGTCTATGCATATAGCAAGATCCAGTCTCAATCAATCAGTCACTCAATCAATCAATCAATCAATCAATCAATCAATCAAATTACTACCCGCTTCCCAGGGTGAATAAAAATCTATAATCACAAGATTTATAGAAAACAAAATAAAACAAAACAAAAACGCCAGGAGGTAATGGTGCACGCCTTTAATCCCAGCATTCGGGAAGCAGAGGCAGGTGATCTTTGAGTTCAAGGCCAGCCTGGTCTACAGAGTGAGGTCCAGGACAGCTAGGGTTACACAGAGAAATCTAAACAAAACCAAACCCATATTTTGGCTATGAATCAAGCCAAATATAAGTGAAATCCAAAAGACAGCTAGCACCAAGAGTTTATTATTCTTGCTATTCTGTCCTAAAACCTTCACTGAAAGAAAAGAGTGGCAATATTACCTAAAGCTTAAGAGAAAAGTAGAAACGTAATCTTTTAGCCATAGGAAAAACACTTGGGACTTCCTTTAGCTTTGAATTGTGAGGAACCATTGGGGACGTTACCACCGGACCAGCACTGCCACCGGCAGGGACGCCACCCTGCCTGAAGAAGGGGAAGGCACTCCTGAATCCCCCCACCTCTGCCGTAAAGTAAAGTACAGCCAATCCCGAAGAGACCTCATAAGTGATATATCCTGCGGTGGCCAAACTGACAGGCTTTGAGGAAAAACCAAGTTTAAAGAGGTAAGTCAGAAGCTGTCAAGGGACAGAGTGGCACCTTCTTCTAAAGTAGAATTCTGAGGAGGAAGACCATACGTTAACACCCATTACCATATACTGTTATTGCTGGCAATAATCTTATTGTACCTGGCTTAGCAATCAGACTTTCTCACACACAGGGAAAACAGGACACTTAGGATTTGTTTTGGTACCATCAACAGTTCCAGACACCCACTCCTGTGTATTAAGGTAATATTTAAAAATAGCAGAGAGGTGAGGTGGGCTTCTCAGATGGCCAATTTAAGAGCCCACAAAGTAAATAATCCTAGAACATGGGCTTATAAAATGACTTTGGTGGCTTGGCTGGCAGTTGACAGATCCGATATCAAATCTGCCATCTTCAGATTTTAACCACTATGAAAAGTTCAAGGTCAGAACTTGGGTTCCCATGGCAGGAACTCGAGCCAAGCAGGCTTTCCAGTGTTTTCCACCGTGAGAGCATCTACTCACTTTGGAGGAAGCCGCTCCACAGTCACTCTCTTTGTGACGTCGTCTTTGTCTGAGCAGTCAACAGCCACCACGCTTGGTGCATGTGGTAACCATTTCTCTGCTTGTCTATCCCTTCCTGAGGAAACTGTCAAACGCCTGGCGTGTCTCTTCAGGACTTGGAACACAATGAGCTTTGATACAGGTTTCTTTAGCTCCAAAGAGACGATATGGGTGAAGACCGTCACACACAGGGTGGTGCTTGAGCGCAGGCGCAAATCCAACCCTACTCCTGCCGTGTACACTGTGCTAGCCTCGACTGTGCCTCAGTTTGCTCGCATCTAAGATGGGTATAACTGAAGCATAGTCAGATTACTGTAACATTTAAGCACTGTAACACTAACCACCTCCTCCAGGAGAACATGACTGAGATGACACTCCTAAGTACCGGACGGGCATCGCCCAGTGTGTGAGCAGGCGGGTCTGGAGGGACACTTACGGCAGTGCCTGCGCTGTCCTCTGCTCTTTCCCTGGGTTTCTTCTTCTGGGGAGAGAGAAGAGAAATCATCTCCTTCTTCATCTGCTGCAGGACCTTCTTCAGCTCAGCGTTTTCTGTGAGGATCTGCTTCTGGCGGCACTCGTAATCACTCAACAGAAGTTTGTACATTTCATCTTCATTCCTGGGGGAGAAACCACACCTGTGAGAATACACGGCCGCGGCAAACCCAGGCTACACTGCAGGTCACGCGGCTGCTGTACCTGGCTTCTGTTTTATCAGTCCTCCACGAGCCTCGTTTTCCATCAGCTCGACCCACATAATTTAAGACGTCCATGGCTACGAATGTAAGCACAAAACATAATCAATCTCTACCACATGCTTAAAACCCTACCACATATGAGACACACGACAGACTGCCTGAAGCTGACCTGGGACATCGGTCAGGGCTCTTCGAATACCCTGGAGTGCGGCAAGCTCCATGCTTACCTTACTTTTCCCTGGCTGGGGGTGGGGAAGGAGAGACACCCTCCAGTTCTTAAAGACAGGGATGGACTCACGGGGGACACAGCACCCGGCACACACAGCTTTTCCAGAACTCAGCCACAGTGGCCTATCTACCTACTTCCCTGCAATGCATGGGGGCACGCTAAACTTCCTCACTGTGTGGACACTGCAGAGAAGGCCTTTCCTGCCCTACTAACCACATCACTGCTGCCAGCCTCACAGGAACGAAAATGTGACAGCACTAATGTCCATCTGTCCCAGATACAGGCAGACTCATTTCCACAAGAAAGACGTTATTCTAATTTTGAACAGTAAGATGAAATCTATTTTTTCTGATTGGGGTTGGGACAAGAAACAGCTACCCACTCCAGTCTGCTGCCACTGCCAATTACAAAGCTAACTGTAAAAGCACGCTTCTTTGACATCCAGAAACCACCGTGAAGCTTCCTGTTTCCAGTTCTTTATGGAAGCCAGTGTCCTCTGGCTTACTTTTCAACTATATACCCTTCGTGTTAAACAAATGCATGTGTGCTGGTGTGCTCAGATGTCTGAGTACCTGGGTCCCCGGTTGGTGCAACTGTTTGGGAAGGGTTAGGAGGCGTGGCCTTGCTGGAGGAGGTGTGTCACTAGGGGTGGGCTTTGGCTCTTCCTGCCTCACAGTTTGGATCAAGATGTAAGCTCTCAGGAATGCTCTAACAATATGCTCCCTGGCACAGCAGTCGCTGACTAATATCTGAAATTGTGAGCCCAAGAAACTCTCCTATAAGTTGCCTTGGTCAGTTTGTCCTATAGCAATAGAAAAGTAACTAAGACATGTAACTAGTGATGCAAACTAAATGACCCAGATTTTCTCCACAAATCGGTTGTCTCAGTTTCCACTTTATATGGAAATACCTAAATTCTAAAGGCAGCTTCTCAGCGTATGGAAGTACTTCACAACTCCACACTATGGGCATGCCACTCAGGTGTCATACCTATTTTTTTATCCTTCTTGTTCATAACAAGCTGGTGCAGCCGTTCCTTTAGTTTATTGTATTCGCGTTCTTTTCTCTTCATATCATGATTATACTGAGTAGCCCGACTGGCTATGATATTTTGTAATTTTTGTACCTGAAAGAAAAAACACTTTCTATCAAATAAGTATTGGTAAACCCACTAAAACCCATAAACGCAAAAGGTGAAACCAGTCCTAGTGGCCATCTTCCCTCGTAATGATTTTCCACTTGTAACCAGTGGAAAGCACCTTAAAAATACTAAGTGCGTGAAAACAGTGTGCAGTGCCTGCAGCTGCCAGCAAGCTGACTTCTCTCTGAGCAGCACCGCTGGGAGCCCAGGGCTGAGTCCGCCCACCTCCTTAGCAGCTGGGTTTTGGCCTGTGCTGCCAGGCTCAGCCGGGACAGTTCTTGACAGGAAGTATACTTTGTTCTTGACAGGAAGTACACTTTGTTCTTGAGAGCTCTCTCAACCCCAGTCACAGAGTGGTGTTTTAGTTTACTCCAACTAAACTTCAAACTAAATGTAATCAACGCTTCATATCACAATTTCCTATGCAGTAACCCTAGTTAGTCATGGTCCACTATTAAGTACTAATTGTGTAAAAAGAAATCTATTTGCTCATGGGCTTTTTAAGTACTAGATTATTGGGGTTGGAGAGATGGTTCATGGTTAAGAACTTTCTGCTCGTGCAGAGGACCTGGCTTCAATTTTCTGTACCCACAGGTGGCTCACAAACACCTGTAGGTCAAGTTCCATGGGGATCCAATCTTCTGGCCTCTGAAGGCACCAGCCATGTATGTGGTACACAGACATGGAGGCAGAACACCCATACACACATAAAAGAAATAAAACAGAAATAAACTCCCTTCCAAGAATAAAACACTGAAAACATTATTTTTATAACTATTATATAGACAGGGGTCAAAACACAGAACATGGAAAGCCTAATGAATGGCTTGTTCTCAAATGCATTATGAATAACACCTTCAAATGCACTAACACAGTCACAGTGCTGTCAGTACTAAGCTAAAAATAAGAGGTCTAGATGTCCACTAAGCAGAGATTAGAATCAAGAGTATTTTGAGTTAGAAGTGAAAATTTCACTAGGAATTGCCACAGCTTTGTGCATCCCAGGCAAGTGTTCTGCCCTGTGACCACTTAATCAGTTTATTCTTTGCCTGATGAAAAATGGTAACATTCAGATCACACACGACGGGAGAAAGGAGAGAGTTCGGTGGCAGAGCACTTGCCTAGCATGTGCACGGCCCAGGTCAGGCGACAGCCAGCGAGAGGCCTTCCCTGTGCAGGGAGACCTTGCTGGAGTGAGTGGGGCGTGGAGCCCTGCATCTGTGACAGCACGGAGCAGGGAGACAAAGGGTGCACAGTGAGCTCTCCTGCACCTGAGGAACGAGCCAGGGCGGGAGGGTGCGCAGGAGGCACTCACTGCCTGGGGCCAGCTATGGGCTCAGGTCCTAAGTAAGGACACCTTGGAGCCTGGGCAGAGGACGGGCACAGGAGTGTCCACCCACCACGCTAGTGTGACACGGGATGAATAGACAGTTCTTTTTCAAAATGAAGCGCCCATTGTCACACCTCATGCAAGGTAAGAGAAAACTCACCTCATCTTTTTCATTTTTCAGTAGCTGATGCAAATTCCTGTTTTTGCACTGTAACTGCCTATCTCTCTCCTGAAGCCCAATCATCTCTCGCCTTGAGGTTTCCAGTTGTTCCTGCCACATAAAATACGGCATTCAAGTAAGACGGAAGGAGTCACAAAGTCCGCAGAAGAGGAGGGACAGAAATCACACATTAACCTGGGAGCTATAGTTTAACATCAGTGGCACACTCAGTGTTTACTTAACGCAGTTACTACCAAGTTTAATATATAAACGCACAAGCCTTAAATTCATTTTATTCTATTTATACATAAGAACTGCAGCTTGGTCTCAAAAGGCTCTTCTGATGCTGTCACTGAAGTTTCCAAAATTCTCCGTAAGGCTTTCACTCTCTAACAGCACACTTCAGATGACCCCTCATCTACGGTGACTCTTCACCCTCTGGGGGATGCTTGGCTTTAGGGAACAATATAATGCCGCAGAGTGTGAAACGCTATCCTTCTCACTGCATAAGTTCAAATCTGAACTCTGACACATTATTTAAAAAAAAAAAAAGTCCTAAAATTCATAGAGAAGCACAAAGGAACCAAACAACCATAAACAGAAAGAATACAGCTGAAGATGCCATAAAACCCGATTCCAAATTATACAACACAGCCACAGTAACAAAAATCCAGCACAGCGCTGCCATGAAAAGAGACATGAACGCCAACGGAACACAACACAGGACCCAGAGAGAAACCCACAAGGCCATCTCATTTTTGATCATGGTATAAAAAAAATGCACTGGAGAAAGGACAGCCTCTTCAATAAGCTGTGCTGGGAAGTAGATTAGATCCTCTTCCATCCTATGCAAAACACTCATTCCAAATGGATGCAAGACCTTAGCGTAAGCCTGTAAACTCTGAAGCTGCCAGAGCCAACAACAGAGAAAGTATTTCAGACAGAGGGTGGGTGAGTCAAGGGTTTGATGAAAAGGACTCCACTGTCACAGAAACTGACCTCACGAATGGACAAATGGCATCACAGAGAATCACCAAAGGGAGTAGTCAGCACAGGAACAATGGGAGAAAATCCCTGCTAACTACAGGTCTGGCAGGGACTAATACTTACAATCTATAAAAAGCACTCAAAAGACTAAATATCAACAAATGGACAAACAGTTTAGATTAGGCAGTTCTCAAAAGAAGAACGACAAATGGCCAGTAATTACATAAAAAGTGTTCAACACCTTTAGCCCTACAAGAAATGCAACTTAAAAACTACAGTGAGATCCCACATCACTCTGGTCAGAACGGCCAGATCAAGGATATAAATAAGCAACTCCAAATGCTGGCAAGGATGCAAACAAAGAGATGACTACATGCTGGTAAGCTGAGGCTGGCGCTAAGGAGGTCACGATGGATAGAGAAACTAAAAGCAGAAATACCATACAACCCAGTCGGAAGCATTCCCAGCTAGCGCATGGCAGAGACCCTTGCACACCCACTGTAGCTAAGCTATGGGGCCAGTCTAGATACAGCAACAGATGGGTGTGTAAGGAAAAGGTGGCGTGGGGAGCATGAACGTGTGTGAGCACTGAAATTATAACTGCGTCCTCACGTACTGGACTCCATTAGTGGGAAAACTCATGAGCAGGGACTGCTCTCTTTTTCCCAGTACCTAATGAATTAATGACATTAGATCTAGAAACCTTACAAATTTCTGTCCTCAGCTAAGCCAAATAACAGATCTGGCCCAGGTTGACTCCAGTTAAAAGTCATCCTCATAGAACAACCTGTTCTAAGTAGTTCTAGTTCATTCCTGAAAGGCCTTTCTCAGTCCCCCAACTTAGCCTGCCCCATTGCACAGCTGGGCACTGACTACTCACGTGGTCCTTGGTCAATGGAATGCAGATAGAACACTGTCTTCCAGGTTTCTAGGTCTTGATCAGCCTGATTAGCATCCAGGTCCTGAGAAGAGGACTTGGATCGGTGTGGCGTGCACAGCTCACAGTTCTAGAGAGCACTAATTCCTTCTCCACCCCACGGGCTCCCCAGCTAGCCAAGATACACATGGGGTACTTACTCTCCCTGTCTGTCCTTCAGGCAAACAGGATATACAAGAAGTTAAAAGAACTGTTAGAGAGAGACGACATCACTGCACCTGGTCTGAGGACAGACAAGACACACTGCAGTGATGGGTTATAAGGTGACACTTCTCTGGGGCATCCCCAAATGCACTGGGCATTCCCAAGCAGGGCAAGGCAAACCACACACACTTACAGCATGTGTTACTACCCTGCAGATGTTACAGAGACTATGGTTCTCTAGGAGCCCGAAGCCAAGGGTCCTTTGCTTTTCCTGTCTGTTTTAGAAGGGGTGGGGTAGGAAGAAGATGTACAGAAGAGGGCCAAGGACCTACAGATGGAGATGCACAAGGAAGCAATCACCGAGGGTACACACGCACGCGGAGCTTTGTGCTTGTAAGCAGGGCCTTCTATTGAGTACTGAGGAAAATGGTTTCTAAAGTTTATGTTAATACACAACTATAATGTAAGTCTGTCCTGTACCATGATTCAAATGCTCATTCCTCTTTTCTCAGAGGATTATATTTCTTTCAGAAACACACAGAGAAGCTTTTTTATGAAGGAGAAAAGAAAGCACCAGAAACCAGCAACAGCACAGTACACTGAGGTGGCAGGTCTATGCCCTATGGAAAGTATGCTTCCCTTTGTACAGAGAAGGGTTACAAGAGACGAACCACAGGGATTCCAGTCCCCCTGCAGCCTGGGAACTTACTGTCAGCTGCTGTCTGGCTTGCTCTGTCTCTGAGCTCTGCTCTGGTACACACACCTCAGGAATATTCTTGGAATCAACATGTCATGAAGCATTGACTTTGTCAGGCAAGATTCGAGGAGGTGAGAGATCCCAATTTTCCCCAGACCTAACGTATTTCCTAACTTCCTACAGCTTCAACAAGTCAAGACAACAAGACCAAGGCCTTCAGCACAGACAGCAACAAGCTGAACGAGCAATCTGTGCAAGTGACTTGAAATCACAATTAACCACAGCTAAAAGAAATGTCAGATTTTAAACACAGCTTCGAATCTCATCTGAAGCCCACAGCCACCCGTGGCACCACGCCTGGGGCATGGCGCTAGGGCCGGAAGATGGACAACATATACCTTAAGTTTGGTGTAGCAGCTCTGTAGGTGGTCCATGTCACTGCCTAGCTTCAGATTCTGTGTCTCCACACTTTCCTGGGCCAGAAGGTTCTTCCGCTGAAGCACAAGTAGCTCATTCATACAGTTTAACACAGCAACTATATTTAATTGTCTCTTTGTCTCCTTACTTTTGGATTCTTCATATAAGGAAGGAAAACCGAAGGTAGTCAGTTCCTGAGAGGAGAGAATGGTTTCTTAGTGGCTGGTTATCTCTGGGAAGAAGTTGGTGAAGGACAGGATGTTTCAGTTCACTCCATGGTGATAAGCTAGCAACAATGTTGACTCTTGGACAGGCTAGACAAAGTCACCCTGACACACATCAAATCTCACTATGTGCACTTCAGAGCCATTCCACAATGGACACATATTTTAAAACATGCAGCACACAATATACACAGTTGTTAACTTGTCAACTGAAACTTTCAATATGTAATTTTTTTAGTGGATTAACAGATAACTTAGTGAAAAGGAAAAAGAGAAAAATGGGAAACCATTCCTAGATCATTAATATTAAATATTCAGAGAATGAATACTTAGAACAACTTTAAATTCATTGCTGAACAATCACCTGTGACCTGGTGTAGTGGCAACTTGCTTTGTGGTGATCACATCCTAGGGGTGTGGTTCAGGTGCAGACTTGACCTCTTATCAGGGAGAGAAGGGGCTGGCTTACTCTCTTAAGTTGTGAGGAGAACATCAGAAGGCTGGAGAGTGCATCTTCTGAAGCAGGAAGACCTTGACGATTATTTACTATTATTTGTGTAAGTTCTTCCCTAATAATTATCTGCTTATCATTTATCTCGAGTCTTGTGGACTCATTTAAACCCTGCCTTCATTTAGTGCCTCCATGGCTAGCCGGCCCAGCCTAGCCTGTCTCCTTATATTCACTAGGTAAGATGAGCCAGTCCCTCCTCTTCCTTATAAGGGGTCATGTCTGCGCCTAAAGCCACGCCCTTAGGATGTAGCCACCACTGCAAATCCACTGACAAAGCAAGATGCCACTACAGCCTGGCATAAATTATCCAGGTTTTCCATCAATGAAATGAGGGCTGGACTCTGAGTAGAGGAGCCCAGGGCAGGAGGTGCTGGCCTTTTGTAAGTACAGCAGTTAAGCTGTGTCAGCCCAGGAGCTCACAATGGTCTCTGCGTGTCTAAGTCTCGGTCACTGTGTAACGACACACTCGGGCACTTCTTGTAGCTTTGATATTTTCCAGGATATGACATGTTCTTGCTTCTTACATAAAACACATTACCTGATCGAGATATGAAAGACTTTGTTCAATGTTCTCTTCTGTGCAGAAGACCCTGAAAACACTCTGTACATTTTTTGATAAAGGCATGGAAGAACATAGCACTTGCTGGGAGTATAAACTTGATGGAGACATCTTTGTTTCTGAGGTATATTCAGAGAGATTTTTGCTTTCTGAAAAAAAAAAATTCAGACACTTACAAATCTAACACTCTCCATTACCAAAGATTCTGAATTACCTACAAAGTATTTTAAAGTTAGGGCAAAGATACTTGTGTGAAATCTATATGCACTTTTTAAAAAAAAATGAGAAAAGATGCAATTACACTAGTGTTCTGTCTTGGTAGGTATGTTAAATGGAGTCACACCTTAACTTCCACTCTTGGATTTATAAAAACAGGAAAAACACTTGTTTATGACACTCAGTTGATGTGATTAAAGGAATTAGGGACTAAAGGAGTCAGTGAACGTATTACAAATGTATACAATTTCCCTCTAAACTGGTGATAAATAGCCGGACATTGGTGGCGCACGCCTTTAATCCTAGCATTCGGGAGGCAGAGGCAGGAGGATCTCTGTGAGTTTGAGGCCAGCCTGGTGTACATACAGAGCTAGTTCCAGGACTGGCTTCAATACAGAGAAACCCTGTCTCAAAAAACAAAAACAAACAAAAAAAAACAAAAAATCAAAAACAAAAACCCCAAAACAAACAACAACACAAAACCCTGGTGATAAATAATCTATTGTCCACTCATAGCCCAGCTTGGCTTTTTATAACTTTACTGAAAATGAAAACTGGATACGTGCTAACTATGGGCCGCTGCCCTCACACATCCCATCTGTGGTAACCAGTTTCCACTGTTCTCAACACCCCTCTCCGCCTTTGACGGTGTCTGCTGTTTAGACTCCGTTACCTGCACACAGACTTGGATCTGTAACAGTCATCCAATCTCCCATAGCAGTCTCCAGCGCCAGTATACCTGAGACGGCGGTTCAGGGCTGAGGCATGTACAACGGCTTCTCTCACGCTACGTGAGCATCTGCTTAGAAAGCAAGAGACAGAGGCTTCTGACTTCAAAAATGAAGCTCAGTGAAAGCAAAAGGTCATTTTCTGTTCTTTGCAGTTTTATTCCATTTCTATGCTTATAAATGTCTTGAATGTATGTATGTGAACCAGGTGCATGCCTGGTGCCCATGAGGTCAGGTAAGGAACTGAACCTGCGTCCCCTGCAACAGCAGCAAGTGCTCTTAACCACTGAGCCACCTCTGTAGCCCATTTGCATGTCCTTTACAACAGAAGGGTTCCGTAGGAGTTGCTCCTATCTACACAGAGAAAATGCTAGGTACTGTGTGCTATTTAGTTTTAACTGACAATTGGTAGACCTGGGGTCACCTGGGGAGGGAATCTCATGAGGGATTACCCAGATGCGGTTGGTATGTGACCATGCCTGTGGGGTGTTTCCATCATCAGCCCAGGCGGAAGAAGGACCCACCCTGAATGTGGGTGGACAGCACCATCTCATGAGCTGGGCCCCGAACTGGGCGTCAGAGTGAAGACAGCTGGCTGAACTAAAACAGCAAGTAAGCAGAATCTACATATAGTGTGAGCAGCTGTCTCAGGCCCTACCTCTGGGACCTGCCACATGACAGACCACAACCTGGATTATAAACCAGATAGAGCCTTCTTCCTGAAGTGGGTTTTGATCCAGATGTTTAATGTTTACATCAACAAAAATGAAAGCTAGAACACAAAGACACACAGGCTGTGTGTATGTGCATGTGTGCATGTGTGTGTGTGTGTGTGTGTGTGTGTGTGTGTGTGTTACAAAGTATACATATTTATAGTAAGGTTAGGTTTCCCAAGATATATGTTACCTGATTTGACTCTAAGGTACAGCAGTCTAATAGGGAATAATAATGATGATGATAGGGATAATAATAATATACAAGACAACTTATTTATGTAGATGAGAAGATAAAACCTTCTAGGCCATTATCCCCATGTTTCGTTTTTCCTAATTATATTCGCCCAGTCTCGCACAGAATAGGAAGACACATTCTATGTGTGGCCCTTTAGGCAACAGTGTCTCACACTCCCGAAGCAAAGCTGGCAATATGGATCCCAAGTTTATGCTAAGAAGATAATGTGCACAAAGATTCATCGACAGAGTGTTCTTCCTAATAGAGGAAATCAGGGCAGAAACACGTTCAGGGGGACTGGCTCATGCAATAGGACATTGCACAGGCTTAAACAAGACTGGAGAGGTAAAAGTGGCTAAGAAATACGGCAGTCTAGGGGCACAATGAGTGAAGCGGACTACAGTAAGAGCTAACTTTTGCTTACTATCCATGCTTCCCAGATGAGCAACAGTTCTACCACAGAAAAACAATCAACTCAAATTATAACTGGCAACTGGCAACAGATTCCCTAGTCAGGAGAAGGCGGACGGTGAAGTGTGTAGGCAAATGGCAGGGTATGTGTGACACTTTGGACAGCTGCTGCTCAGCAACAGTAACCTGAAGAGATGACAGCCCCAATGCTGATGGCTTTCAAGTTTGAGAGGTTTTGGAATTCTGCACTTTTATATGAAATCTTCCAACTCTGAAGTGTTAGAAGCTAATTAAAAGAAACATGGTGGTTTATCCCGTGGGAAGAGGGAGTGAAGGGAATATACTATAGTCTTCCGTGGTTCTAGAAACATCTTTATCTGAGGCTCAATTACGTGGGTATACATACAATTCATTAAGTTGTAGGTGTACAGTCTATGCTCTTGACTATATGCTGTAACTCAATATTTAACAAGTCAAATCAACTTTAATATAGCATATCATAGTATATCATAGCATGCCACAGTATATCTTAACATACCATGGGATACAGACCCACGCCCATTAACGCTTCTCTGAATATTTAGCATGGACAGAAACTGACATGATTTGTGAAGGCGAGTCACGGCCTGCCCTCACTCTAAGTCTGATCCGAAGCCCCACTGCCACCACACAGCAGGCAGAGTCTCCGCACAAGGGAAGCTAAATTCTCCAGAGTTCACATTCTGGGAAAGGTGAGCACGGACCACTACAGGAGCAAAAACAGCTTAGGGATTAGAACTATGAAGAAAGGTAAAAAGGGTGAGTCTTCAAGTGAGAAAAACACATTAACTTTTCAGTCTGGGCCTTCAGGGCTCTAAGAAAAACACAACCTGTGTGTCTGTGGAGCTTGGCTTTGGGTAGACGACATCCCTTCTGAGCCCTGTTTCTCACTGGTCATGTCTCATAATGGTAACATGTACTTTCGTGTCCTTAAGTGAGGCCATGCATGAAGTATTTATCACACTGCTTGGCACAAGGGGCGAGGAATTAGTTTGAGTTCACTGTGTCCATATTCCTCTTTGCCAAGACCGGCTATCTGATATAAACAATGGGGAGGGGGATTTGTCTGGACTCACAGGCTCAGAGAGTTCATCCTACCAGAGAGGGAGGGAGGGAAGAGGGTGGGCAGGTACATCACCCGGGAGGGAATGGGGTATGAGAATGTGAGTATGCACACGAACAGGCTTTCTCCCTCAGTCCAGAACGCCAGCCTATGGGATGTAGCTGCCCAATCAGAGTGGGTCTTCACCATGAGGCAGTTCTTTCTGGATGTGCACTCACATCTGTGAGTGGCTGTGACAACCAAGAGCAGCTGTCACACTCATCACCTAGACATCTCTGCTCCTGTAAGGGACAGGATTCCAAGACAGGCAGAAATGCACCACTGCTCTCAAGGAAAGGGGACACAGATTAGGGAGACCTGGAACTCATGTCCCCATATACACTGGACAGAGATCTACTCCACTGCAACAGGCTGCCCGCATGGACACTGGACATAGATCTACTCCACTGTAACAGGCTGCCCGCATGGACACTGGACAGAGATCTAGTCCACTGTAACAGGCTGCCCGCATAGACACTGGACATAGATCTACTCCACTGTAACAGGCTGTCCGCATAGACACTGGACAGAGATCTAGTCCACTGTAACAGGCTGCCCGCATAGACACTGGACATAGATCTACTCCACTGTAACAGGCTGCCCGCATAGACACTGGACAGAGATCTAATCCACTGCAACAGGCTGTCCGCATAGACAGCAGACAGAGAGATCTACTCCACTGTAACAGGCTGTCCGCATAGACACTGGATAGAGATCTAGTCCACTGTAACAGGCTGTCCGCATAGACACTGGATAGAGATCTAGTCCACTGTAACAGGCTGTCCGCATAGACACTAGCAGTGACCTAAGTCACTGTAATTGCAGGGCTGAGGAGATGAAAGAACAGAACATCAGCTCTTTCCAAGAACGCCTGAGAGAAAAGAGCTGCGTGGCTCTCCTCACTCACCGAGACTGGACCAGAGTGAGATCACTCACCTGCTCCTTAAAATGAAGGCCTCTGTGTCTGAGCTTAGCTCTCCCCTCTCCCCCTCCCCCACCCCTCTCATGCACACACAAACATACACAGTCCAAGGAAGGACCAAATTACACACCATGACAAACATCTGGGAGAAGTTGCTCTACCAGCTGTTTTCAAGGATAATACATACCAGAGACCCAAGAGGTTAGTTCACACTACACGTCGTATTGTATAGCTCAACCTAAGATTTTATTTTTATGATATTAAAACTGGTTGAGGCTAATTTCAAAGAAAAAGGTAACAGGAGCATCTCCATGAAGCACAAGGCTCACACTACCACAAACCCATTGCAACGTGGAAACACCAAAGGCAAGCATGGGCTGTCCTGAAGGCTGCTACTCCAGCAAGGGCTCACACTACAGATTCACCACAATCAAGCAATCCGTTGTACGAGACCACAACAACCAATGACAAATCACACCACTGCAGGTTTGGCTACACCCACAGTATTACTGGCACTTCAAAAGAGGGAAGAGTTAATGACAACAATGTGGTCAAGTAATCTGGACCTGGCAATCTCTGACTTCGTTCTCACCGTGGACAGACATCACTGGCTAGGACAGCCATTCAGACTCCAAGACAGTCGGGTGCAGGTGCACATTTTACAACCGAAATAGCAAGAACTTAAGTGACACTCAAGTCTATTTCATCCATCTAAGATTTGAGGGAACAAAATTCTACAATATAACCCGTGAGAACGCCAGCATTCTCAGGCTGGGGTGTAGTCCTAGAATGGAAGGTCGTGGGTTCATCCCCAGACGGCTTAAAACAAAAATCTTTCTCTTTTCATGTCAGAGAGATGCCATTTTACTCACTATCTGCAGGCTGATGAACTCTCCTATGGGAGATAGTCCACCACAGACGCCTATCAACAGTCTCCATAAGAGAAAATCGTATTAATTTCAGAAAATAGCAGTAACTTCAGTAAAAAGGCTCCATAACCACTTCTGAAGCAGCTGGTTCTGGGCGCCAATGTAGTGTGCCCTTCACACACAAACACAGCGAGGGACGGCTGTGTAGCCCTCTGAGAGAAGTAATTATTCGAAGCTGAAGAGTGATCTAGCAGCAGTTTCTAGGGTGGAATCCAGACAGGAAACCAGGAAGCAGAGCCCTCAGTGTTGCTCTGTCTTCACAGAGGCAGGCGCAGAGAGGGAGGGGCCCAGCCTCTCTGCCCTGGGACCTGAGGCTTGCTCGCGCCCGCCCGGCGTCTGGCTCCCACTGTGCATTCTCTCACCCAAAAGCAAGGCTTTTCCAGAAAGACACATTTCCCAAACTCATCATGCTTCATGGCAGATTTAGTTCATGCTTAGGTTTCCTGTGTCAAATGCCGGAAACTGGGGATCAGAGAGACCAGCTGGGTGCCTGAGCTACCTGTGTTTTCAGCGCTCTGGGCGCCTAGCTGCCTACTCCCACCTTTCAACAGTGTGCGGAAGCCACCTACAATGCCGACAAGTCAGAAAGACACGCACAAGAGTGAGCTCCTCTCATCAATTTCAAGTCACTTCACCCAGAACACACCATTCCTGCAGAACTCAGTCTCAAATCTAGGCAAGCCTGTTGTTAACTGTCTCTGCACGTCGACACTAAGACAT